CTCTCTCTCTCTCTCAACTGTATTGCTAGCAAAACACCGTCATTCAAGAAGCAGAGAAGCTTGTTCCTCCAATCTCTTCGATCGTTCCTTTCTTTCTCTGTTATTCTTTTTTTCGATCTTTTGTTCGTTCCCCTGATTTCTCTTTTTTCTTTTTTTTTTTTTTTTTTTTTTTTTGATACCTTTTACAGGGCAGCGCTGCTCACAAGCAGCACGCGTACGGAATCTATTGGCATTGCCTTTGCAACCGCCGTAAAGAAATTGGCTACACGTCTGACGCACGGCGTCATAATGCCAGCGTAACACAGAGCCCGGACAAGGGCCGGTATCTTTCTCCAGGTGGCACACGTCTGTCAGTTTTACTGGAAATATGTATTTTCACGGATTACTTGGACAGCTTTGGACACGCGTTCGGACGTATCGTATCGGTCAGTGTGCCAATTTCGTGGTCTCGGTGACCCGAATGGCTTGCCGATTAGCGTGATGGTTTGGTGTTTGATTGAAAGTGAACGTGATATCTTTCAGATGAGTACCATAAGTCGCCAGTGTTACGTTAGTCCGTGTTCTTTAAATGAATGTCCGTTGCATCGGAGGAAAATCATGCGTTTCACATATTCGAGACCGAATGCTGAATTTGCATATTCCGTTCATTGGCAAGCTTGTTAAAGTTACGCCTGAACAGGGCTTATCGACACTGATAACGTTTAATTTGTAAAATTTCAATTGTACATATTCTCGGATAAAAGTTTTCGTTAGCTATTTCAGAGCTCAAGCAGCTTAAAAAAATAAACGTCTCACACAGTTTCGAATATGTTCAACGAAAGTGACGGAATTCTCCGGCGATTTAGTCTCGATTATCGTTCCTGATTTCTCCTGATCGGTTCAATCAAGAAATCCTGCTCGCAGCGTCCAATAAAACAATAATTTAATTCATCGATCAACTAATGAATTTCGTTCATTAAGCCCTTCTGGACAAATTACAGCAACAAATTTCTCCATTCTCCTTTGACAACAATCAACTGCAAAAATTAAGTCGCTTAAAAAAAAAAAAAAAAAAAAAAAGAAAACGAAAGTAAAAATGAAGAATAATCTGTCAAAAGTGTTGCAACACTTGAGATGTACGCTCTACGAATCAAAAACAAAAAAAAAAAAAATCTGAAAAAAAAAACACTTTCAAACGAGTCTAGTAAAAGAAATGGGTTCAGGCAGTAGAACGAGCATGATACGTGCATGAATGGTTGATGAAAGGGATCGCGTTGGATGAACATACCTCGTCTCCTTCCTGGTTGCAAGCATTGTTGGTGGCAAGCGATTTCCGTCGCGAAGTTGTTATCGTTTCCTTTGCAGCCGCCGTAGCGGAATTGCTCACAGGCTTGCGATTCTGCGTTGAAGTGCCATCTGGTAAAGTTGCCCTCGCAGGGGCCTGGCTCTTTCGACTGCTCGCAAGGATCTTCGCACATAGTAGAATGCAAGAGATCTTAGAACTTTGTGTTTGTTGCAACGAAATTTTAATTAATTAACTTCTAACTTCGAGCTGAATGTGAGCTTCTATTATTTAAATAAGAAGTGTCGCTTTAAAAAGAGATGAGATCTGTCAAAAATGTTGCAACACGGAAATTGATGACTTTCCATTGTTACGAACTGTTTGCATCCCAATAAGTTTAGATAAATAGTTCAGTAAGTTAAAGTTTCTACTCTGTGTATAAGAGAATGTAAATATAATTTTCACTGAAACCGGAGTTTAAAAAGTTGGAAATATCGATCGAAATGTGTTCAAGGATTTTCTTTTCAATTGAGTTACCGAGATCATCAGGAGTGACACAGAGTTCTTCGCACTCTTCCCTGGTCTTGAATTTATTCGCGTTCCCGAGGCAGCCGCCATAGACGAACTGTCCACACTGTTTTCTACCAGTGTCGTAATACCAAGTAGGGAAATATCCCTCGCATGGTCCGGAGATCTTTGGCAAGTTGCAGGCATCTGCAAAATTATATTTTTCTAACTTGCTCAACGTGTGCAACGAGAAGAAAAATTAATCGTTTCGCAAGTATTGCACAAATATCACGATATCACAAAAATTCATTGAACCACTTGACGAAAATCTAACGCTTGAAATAAAAAATTCTAGATATTACAACTTCTGCAGAAAAGCTGCATATATTACAATAATAATTATATAATTATTCGTTATAAGTTAATAAACAATAATTCATCACTGAATAAATTAATAATATTCCTTGAATAATTCTATAATATAATAATATTAATATAATAATAAATAATAAATATAATTAATATAATAATAAATTAATAATATTCCTTTGAATAATTATTCATTATAAGTTAATAAGAATAAGTTAATAAACAATAATTCATCACTGAATTCCTTTGAATAATAATTATTATAAGTTAATAAGAATAAGTTAATAAACAATAATTCATCACTGAATAAATTAATAATAATTCCTTGAATAATTTTCAACGTTATTACCTTTGCCTTTCGGCTGTACGCACACTTCTTTGCACTCTTCCTGCGTCTTGAATCGATTGTCGTTACCCTCGCAGCCTCCGTACCAGAACCGCGAGCATCCACCGTACTCCGTGTCGAAGTACCATTTGACGGTGAAGTCTCGACAGGGTCCTCTGTCCCTCTCCAAGGCGCACGCTGCCCCAGGAGTAGGTGGAACCGAGAGACAGCCCTCGAAGTTCTCTCCTTGAGCTTCCTCGGACCCATCCGGGCAACATCCGTACTTCGAGGCGTCGCAAGTGCAGCCGGCAAAGTTCGGACCCTTCGCCGGGGTTCTTCCATCCGAGCAGCACTTGAATTCTGTGTTCTCGCAACCGCAGCCTGCGTGAAATGACGCAGTACGAAAAAAAAAATATGTATATATATATATATATATATATATATATATATATATATATA